TTCGAAACCCTAAACCCTATCCCCTTGACTAGAAATAAAGTCAGTGGACCCTTCGCTTGCGCAAGCCATCAGCTCAGCCTCTAAAAGGCAAGCTTCGGCCGATGCCAAAACCGAAGAACCACAACTCAGTAATGAGATGTGTTCATGTCCCGATTTAAGGTTTAGGGTTTAGGGTTGAAGGTTTAAGGTTTAGGGTTTAGGGTTTAAGGTTTAGGGTTTAGGGTTTAGGGCTAGGGCTAAGGGGTTTGGGGTTTAAGGCTTCGGGTTTAGAGTTTAGGGTCTTGAACAACTTAGCTTCGAAACCCTAAACCCTATCCCCTTGACTAGAAATAAAGTCAGTGGACCCTTCGCTTGCGCAAGCCATCAGCTCAGCCTCTAAAAGGCAAGCTTCGGCCGATGTCAAAACCGAATAACCACAACTCAGTAATGAGATGTGTTCATGTCCCGATTTAAGGTTTAGGGTTTAGGGTTTAAGGTTTAGGGTTTAGGGTTTAGGGTTTAGGGTTTAAGGTTTAGGGTTTAAGGTTTAGGGTTTAGGGCTAGGGCTAAGGGTTTAGGATTCAAGAAATAGAAGCCCAGACACCTAGAACTGTAAACCCCGCATAGCGCTAAGCTGAAAACCTACATATAGTCATATACACTCTTTTAATATTTAGGAAGCAAACAAATTTAAATAATTAAAATAACTAAATTATTCGAATTAATTGAATTCTGGTGCCTCCTCAAGAATTTACATAATTCTATGATTTTAATTTCTTTAATATTGTAGCCTTAGCCAGACAATTTAAATAATTTAATCAAATAATTCAATTAATTGAATTATTTGTATTCTGGGAGAGGCCCCAGAATTCAATTAATTCAATTAATTGAATTATTTGAATTCTGGGGCCTCGCCCAGAATTCAATTAATTCAATTAATTGAATTATTTGAATTCTAGGGGAGGCCCCAGAATTCAATTAATTCAATTATTTTAATTCCTTTGATCCCGGGCCTCAGCCAAACCATTTAAATAATTCAATTAATTCAATTAATTCAATTAATTAAATTATTTGTATTCTGGGGGAGGCCCCAGAATTCAATTAATTCAATTAATTTAATTAATTGTATTTTGGGAGAGGCCCCAGAATTCAATTAATTCAATTAATTTAATGAATTGTATTCTGGGAGAGGCCCCAGAATTCAATTAATTCAACTAATTGAATTATTTGAATTCTGGGGGAGGCCCCAGAATTCAATTAATTTAATTAATTGAATTAATTAAATTAATTGAATTAATTGAATTATTCAATTGGTCTGGCTCAGGGCCAGAGATTCAAAGAATTCAATTAATTGAATTAATTGAATTCTGGGGGAGGCCCCAGAATTCAATTAATTCAATTATTTTAATTTCTTTGACCCCGGGCCTCAGCCAAACCATTTAAATAATTCAATTAATTCAATTAATTAAATTATTTGTATTCTGGGGGAGGCCCCAGAATTCAATTAATTCAATTAATTTAATTAATTGTATTCTGGGAGAGGCCCCAGAATTCAATTAATTGAATTATTTGAATTCTGGGGGAGGCACCAGAATTCAATTAATTGAATTAATTGAATTAATTGAATTAATTGAATTATTCAATTGGTCTGGCTCAGGGCCAGAGATTCAAAGAATTCAATTAATTGAATTAATTGAATTCTGGGGGTGGCCCCAGAATTCAATTAATTCAATTATTTAATTCCTTTGATCCCGGGCCTCAGCCAAACCATTTAAATAATTCAATTAATTCAATTAATTCAATTAATTAAATTATTTGTATTCTGGGGGAGGCCCCAGAATTCAATTAATTTAATTAATTGTATTCTGGGAGAGGCCCCAGAATTCAATCAATTCAATTAATTGAATTATTTGAATTCTGGGGGAGGCCCCAGAATTCAATTAATTCAATTAATTGAATTAATTGAATTAATTGAATTAATTGAATTAATTGAATTAATTGAATTAATTGAATTATTCAATTGGTCTGGCTCAAGGTCAAAGATTCAAAGAATTGAATTAATTGAATTAATTGAATTCTGGGGGGGGCCCCAGAATTCAAATAATTCAATTAATTGAATTAATTGAATTCTGGGGCCCCCCCCAGAATACAATTAATTCAATTAATTAAATTATTTGAATTCTGGATATCCCCCAAGAATTCAATTAATTCAATTGATTCAATTATTTAAATTTGTTTGCTTCCATAAATATTAAAAGAGTGTAAATGACTCTTATATTTGATATATAAAAGAAAACCAGTGGCAACATAGTACATAAAGGTCCCTCTCTCATATATATATATATGTATATATATATATACATATTTGCTTTGCATATATGTCCTTTTTCCTATAAGGTCCTATACAAGGCTACACGGCCCGTCGGTTCGAATTGTTTCTAAGGCTACCCTGACGCGGCGCTCAAGTTGCACGAAATCTCGCCAGAGCTGATCTCTGTCAGCCGCTGGGCCGTGTGGTCTAATGTGGTCGGGCGTAGTCGAGTCGATCAGCCTTCTGAGCTCTGCAAGTTAATTATTCGTAAGCTGTTCCTCAGGAACCCTCCAACCTGACATTATGTCCGTTTTGTCAGCGGGGTCTTGCAACACTGAGAACCTACACAACAGTAGGCAACAAAGTAGATTTGTGGTCTCCTGAGGACAGCTGCGGAGGGTGGCCGAGGACTCCACGTGCAGCAGTGATGCTAGGAAGCCGCAGAAACCCCCTTCGAACCCACACGCGAACCATTGCCCCACATGTGCGGGATGACCTTCGCTTTTCGGATCGCAACATGCATCCCGAGTCAGATATGGGAATCTATTCTGCCCTGGAGGTTAAAAGTTTCCATAACATGGAGGTTTATGCTACAGTAGTAGTAGCTAAGGAGGTTTCCCTACACCCTACACACCCTACACACCCTACACACCCTACACACCCTACACACCCTACACACCCTACACACCCTACACACCCTACACACCCTACACACCCTACGCACCCTACACACCCTACACACCCTACACACCCTAAACCCTAAACCGTAAACCCTAGACCTCACCTTAAAGTTGCTGAACAGCAGCCGTGGTCTGCTGGTTCAGGCCGCCATTTTAGAGTTCGACCATGCCAGGGTGTGGGGGCACCCAGCCCTCGAGTTGAGGATTTCGGGTTTTGGGGTTTAGGGGCTCAATTTGCCGATTTTTTGGGTTATGCCTTTTTCTCGTTTTTCTCCCTTTGTTGTTGTTGTTGTTGTTGTTGTTGTTTTTTTTTTTTTTTGGGGGGGGGGGGGGGGGGTAGGGGGAACCGACCATTTTGTAGTGTTTGGGAGTCACAGGTATGGTTTTGCGCATTTGGCGGCTTAGGGGTTCCGAATGCATTGTGTTTTGCAGGGTTTATGCGCACGGGGGCTTAGGGGGCTGGGATGTGGTTTAGCTTTTTTTGGACCTTGGGGCCGGTATTGTCGCAGTTCGTGTCAAGTCTGCTGTGGGGGGCTGGGGGGCATTCTGATTTTTGGACTCAGACATCGCGCTCACCAAAACCTCAGTTGAAACAGAGCGAGAGAGCACAAGGGTGAGCGGACTTTGAGCTACTGTACTGACTCATATGATATTCCTTATCTGCCGTAGCTTGAGGACTGAATGAAAGCAAAAAGCCTACGGCCACAGCTAAGCTTGTGACATTCACTTTCTTTCTCCGCTTCTTGCCAGTGCGGCTGACTCAGTCAGCTAGGCATGTGATCAGGATGTTAGTGGTGGGTTCAGGGGGACCCTAAACCCTAAACCCTAAACCCAGAGGAAGCCCAAACATGCTATAGGGGTCGGAAAAGTTAAGCCCTAAAGCCCCTCTATGCAGCCAATTGCCCCTCTGAGAGTGCCCAGGCTGTATCCCGAGTGGGCTAGCGACTGGGCGCCGATCGAGCGCAACCTTCGCAAAGCGATACAGAGTGCCTGGGGCTGTCTTGGAGACGAGATGAACCCTGCTAGGGTTCATCTTTTGGGGTTTAGAGGGCTTACGGTAGTAGGGTTTAGGGTTGTGGGACATAACGGGACACTTCCGGGGCGGACAGACGGAATCCTGCTGAAAAGGAGGGGTCCAGTATGGGATGTCTGATGCCTCCCTTCCCGAAACATAGGGAACGTGACCCCAAGCTTTTGGTGTAAATTTAATTAAGACCCCAAGGTGGGGGGGGGGGGCAAGTACAGCCTGCTTCTATGGGGTTGATCTAAATTCGAGTCCCTTTGTTAGTGCAGTATATTCCTATACCAAGAAACGAGCCCCCCGCACCTGGATAAAGCCCTTCTGGCTCTGTCTGTTCTGCTGACTTGGCAGTTGAGGGGCGATTTTGCACAAGTTTCAGGAGGTAAGATGCTCAAAGCAATCCTCAACATGCAAGCCCACGTGCTCCGCTTCAAGCGTCGAGCATATAGAGGCATCGAGTTTGTCGTGGCCGCAGCCGACGACCCGTTGCAGCATAAACTGAAGGCTGGGATGGCACCAGTTCCCTAAGCCCTAAGCTAGGACCCAGAGTAGGCCCCACATTGCCTTTTTTGGGGGGAAGCAGTGGCCCGGAAGCAACAGGGTTTAGCTTCCCCAAGAGGGCTTAGCTTCCCTTATAAGGCCCCTTTTAAGCCAAAACGGGAAGCACCCGTTTTGTTTCCTGGCTTACCCTTTGGGTCTAGTAAAGCCTGCAGAATTTCAGCTTTTCGAGGAGTTCAGGGAAGTTGTAACTACATCAAGTTGCCATAAAGACGGATACAGGGTTTAGGGTTTAGGGTTTAAGGTTTAGGGTCCTTGGGCGGCAATCCTGAAGCTAGACTCTGCAAACCCGCAGGCCACGAACGTCTTCCTAGAGGAAGCGTGTCAAGCCAAGCGCCGATCCATCCTCCTGGGCACCCTGGCTGCTTGTAGGGCTTATGGCTTATAGTAGGATGTTTTAATGGGGCTTCTGGTCGGATGTTTTAATAAAGGGGCTTATCGTAGGATGTGTTAAAGGGGCTTATTGTAGGATGCTTTTAAGGTTGCGGGGCGCGGTGTCTATGTCCCCTGGGTCCGGCTTCCAGCAGATATCGCGAAGTGCGAGGGATGCAGCAGACTCCTTCGCCCTAACGCCTGGCTTTGTTTTGAGTTCATAGGATCTCGGCACCTGAAATCCTTTAGCCTAGAACAAGACCCCTTGGCTGCTTTTGCAGTTTGGCGTAATCTGTACCTGACCTTTAACCCCAAAACACCCTATTCGGTGCCGAGGCTGCACGGAGCCCTGCCGACGAAGATACAGCAACTTAACCCTTAAATACCCTATACTACTACTGATTCCTCTTGAGGTATATGACCCGTAAACCTTTTTAGGGTTCATTTGGTGCCCCCAAGGTCGTCAAGAAATTGACACGTACCCATACCCTAGCAGCCCAAAATCTATGTCGTTGTAGGTTTTACTCAGTATGAAGCCCTTCCATACCCTTGTACTTGTTCTGAAGCTAGCTAAGCCCTGAACCCTATGAACCTTAAAACGCAGAGAACTTTCTGGATCCCTCTGCCCGCAAAGGGCCACTTATAAGAAGTGTTTTTGAGGGTTTAGGGTTCCAAAGGATACATATGATTGAGGTTGGAGGGTTAAAGGATGTTTTGCCGTTAGTTATACTTTAGAGGATTCCTATGAGCTGTTTGATGATACAGAAACATGCAACGAAGGAGAGTTTTCGGGTTCTTCCGGTAGGGTGGAGTACCTTTCCAGGCATTCGTGCCCACCGGCAGCGCAGCCACTCCAGAACTCACTCCAGAAGCCAGTCTTGGCAGGACCGTCACTGAGTGTAGCTAAACCCTAAACCCTAAACCCTAAACCCTAAACCCTAAACCCTAAGCCCTAAACCCTAAACCCTGAACCCTGAACCCTCAACCCTGAACCCTCAACCCTAAACCCTAACCCTAAACCCTAAACCCTAAACCCTAAACCCTAAACCCTAAACCCTAAACCCTAAACCCTAAACCCTAAACCTAAACCCTAAAAACCCTAAACCCTAAACCCTAAACCCTAAACCCTAAACCCTAAACCCTAAACCTTAGCTAGGTAGGACGTTGGGACAGTTCATATTTCCCCTTAATGGTTGGGTTTACATGTACCCTGTTTGGGAAGCTTCTTCATCAGCCGCAGAGTCCGAACCTTGAAAGCGACGTGATACCAAGTGTAGCCTAGGAGAGTATATGGTGCAGATACCTTTCTTTTGCAAGTCACTTTCAGGGTTCACTTGGTTCTGAAGAACCTTGGGCACTGCATCGATTGCCAAGTTGAGGTTCAAAGCTTTTAGTCCATCACCGGCAGCCTAAGATTGATCCCGTGAAGTGCTTGGGTTCCGGGTTTAGGGTTAACAAGGGCTTGGGGCTTTGGGACGCAGGGCCAGGATCCATAACATGTATGTTACCCAACATCTATGCCTACTTAAACCCTAGACTACAGCCTGCTCCTCTGCAGATTCGCTTGGGCCTCAGCGACAGCGAGGATGAGGAGGAGGACGGCATACATGATGGGATCCACCGGTCTCCGCAGGGCAGGGAAGTCCCCTAAACCCTAAGCCCTAAGCCCTAAACCCTAAACCCTACACCCTAAACCCTAAACCCTAAACCCTAAACCAAACCCAGGGCTGGACTTTCGGGGGATGGCATGGTGCAGTTCACTGGCGGCAACCGATGGAACTCCGAAAAAGCGTGACGACCCCCCCCAAAGTTTAGGGTTTAGGGTTTAGGCTCCCCAAGTTCGGGTCCCTGGGCAGCAATGTAATATGCTTCGCTTTCAGATTCCTTGGGGACCAAGTAAATCCTCAAACCCGTGTTCCCCCAAAACTGACTACTTACAGGAGCCCCAAAATCCGGAACCCAGTTTTGAGACCCTGTGTTGCGAATGCCCCGTAGCCACAACCCTGGAAGTGCTGCTTTCGCCTCGGACTTCACCAGCATGTTGCCCGTCTCACACAATCATCTCGGATCAACCCTGACAAGCCTCAGTAGCTGATGCAAAGCTTGGCTGTAGTGCATGGGAAGCCAGTCTATAGGGGTTTGGATGCAAAAAAGGGTTCACTTGCCGGAGGACTCGGTGCTCAGCGAGCCGTTTGATCCGGACCAGTTCCCTCAACCTGCGAATCCCCTTCCAACGGCGTCGACATTGACGCAGTTCGGGCCGTTTGGGCGACTTGCTCGCAGCACCGCACATTGCAAAAACACAGTGGGCGCCCGTATGATTATCGGTCCTACAGGATCCCATTTCAAGGAGCTTGGTCAGGTCTCTTGAATCCCAGAACTGCAGCAAAATTCATAGAGCGTGCTAAGCTTCAAGCACCCTCCTTTCGGGAACGTCTGCTCAAGACATGAGGGGACGAGTCCGCACACAAGTTTGTTCCGAAAGCCTTATTATCAACCCTATAAACCCCATTAGCAGCATAAACCCTATTCGCCCGATTATATACCCCATAATCCCTACATCCTTGTAACTTGGACCTAGGTTTGAGCCAGTCATGACAAGGATAGGGAGCCTTGGCTGCAATCCCCCCCTACATGTCCAGCCCAGGGGTTTCAGGGTTTCGGGTTACGGAGATGGTTTAGGTTTGGTTTAGGGAAGTTGTAGATGGATGAAGTTGCAAATCTTGCTTATCGGGGGGCGGGGGAGGGGGGGAGGATTGGGGGGGGTCATTACGATCGTGCGAAGTTGTAGATTGGGGAAGAAAAGAGTTTGCTTACCGGGGGGGGGGGGGGGGTATTGGGGTCATTACGTCCAGACCAAATTGTAGATTGAGGAAGTTTCTGTCATTGTTTTCAGCGTAAGCGCCGTGTAAGCTCCGCGTAAGCGGACGGCTCCAGGCTCTCGAAACGACATGCTCCACCCTACGTGATGCGCATCAACTACGTGCGTGCCAACATGGTACGATTTCTTTGCACGCACCCCTGATTGACGTTTGACATGGCATGACTGGGCTCCTTGCAAGGTCAGCCTGGCGTGAGCTGCAGGCGATGCAATCTCATGACGCTTTCTAGGGTGAGGTTGCCTGATGAAATCGTTTAGCCTGGCAGCCTACGGCATGAGAAGCCCATAGAAGCCCTAGTAGCCCTTCATCGCTCCTGATCGGCCTTTTATTCCCTCAGCTCTCGAAACCCGGACGAAATCCTAACGAAACCCCTAAGCCCTAAACCCTACACCCTAAACCCTAAATCCTAAACCCTGGTGGCAAAAAGCAGAACCTCTACGTCCTACCTTTACGGGTTGAGAGGATCGTAGACCTTGGTGAGCTGGCGAGTTCCTGCACGAAGGTCCGCGGAGCCCTTGGTGGGCCACTGTCATAGGGTTCAGGGCCTGGGGTTCAGGGTTTAGAGTTTAGGGTTTAGGGTTTAGGGTTTAGGGTTTAGGGCTCATAGAGACTTATGGGTTCTCCTTCCAGAGTGCCAGAGCATCTGAAGATGGACCTTTGCGTGGGACACTCGCTTGCACCATGACACACTCTGCCCCCAGAGCTGCCTTGGCATGGCTTGTGTTTGCGACCTTGCCGCGCCACTTTTCCATGAGGCCAAAGGACCAGCCCAAGTCTGTGCAGCAAGGTTGAATGGAAAGAAAAGGTGTGCCCCAAGCTCGACGATCTTCGCAGATACTGCAGCAACTAATTGCGGTACGTTGCGGCGCATCACGCCGCACGGGCCTACTCATGCCCGACAAGGCCTGTAGCAGCCGTGACATATCCGACCGCTTACATATCAGTATATCATCAGAGGCAGCAGATGGTCAAGATTCCATCTCCGCAGACTGGATGAACGTCCTGCAAGCATCGCACCGAGCGACTGCAGCGCGGGCCTTCCAACGGGGCCCAAAGGAACCCGAGGATCCCGCACTTCTACAAACATCCCTTTCAGGGTAGACAACCCCTTCACTACACTGCCCTACACCCTAAACCCTAAACCCTGTACGCCCTTGTAGGGTTTTTGAACGTTAAAAAAGCCCAACTGTAGGATTCGTCCCCCAAGGTAAACCCAGGTCTCGGCCGAAACGTCCTCAGGCCTGGCCCTGGCCACTGCCATGTCCAGTTTGGCCTTCCTGGCTGCTCGACATGGTTGACAGGGTTTAGGGGTTTACAGGGTCTACAGGGTCTACAGGGTTTACAGGGTTTACAGGGTTTACAGGGTTTACAGGGTTTACAGGGTTTACAGGGTTTACAGGGTTTACAGGGTTTACAGGGTTTACAGGGTTTACAGGGTTTACAGGGTTTACAGGGTTTACAGGGTTTAGGGTTGACAGGGTTTGGGGGTTTAAGGGTTTAGGGGTTTTGGGCGTGTAGGGGTTGCTCTCGAAAGGCTGTCAGGGGACCAGAGGCGTGCGAGTTGCCAGTTCGGAGTCGTTGGGTTTGGGGAAAGGGCTTTGCGGTTTTTTATCGATGCTAAGTGAGTTTAGGGTTTGGGGCTATGGTTTCTAGGCAGGTTGGAGGCGTAGGAAGCCCTACAGAAGCCCCCCAAAGGGTTTAGGGTGAAAAGGTTTGTGCTTTCTTCGGTTAAAAGTGCTGAGGCAGAGGTGTAGCCCGCCAAGTCCCTAATTCTACAGTATGGTTCCGCGCCCTCAGAAGTAGGGATGCCGCGCGTGAAGCCTCAACAAAGCCCCTTCTCTGTGGATGAACTGTCTTTCACCTGCCTCTGCATGGGGGTTGGTCGAGATAAGGCCATCCCGGAAGAGATACCTTCCTTGCAATTCCTTCGAAAGAGCATTTGCAGAGTGACCCGAACTTAGAATCGGCGCCCAAGTATAGCCTGTCAAGTTGCCCGGCAACTCCTTCGATCTACTTCCTGCCTTGCAGTTTTGAAAGCACCCGGATGTTCTTGCAGGGTTGAAGCAGAAAAATGCAATTCGGGGGTCGCCCTTAGCTTGTGCTGGCTTTAATTGACATTGAGCTTCAGGGCGGCAATCCGGGCCAAGGGCAAGGTGGTCCTGGCCTCAGATGCGCGTTTGTGCGTGTAAACCTACCAAGTGAGGGCTTTCGGAAAATGCCCTAAACCCTAAACCCTTAACCCTGAACCCTAAACCCTAAACCCTTAACCCTAAACCCTAAACCCTAAACCGGGTTCAAACTCCCCTTCCCTATCCCGCACGAACTTGGTCGTCAATTACCTCCCTAGTAGGCCGAGTAGCCAGCCTGAATATCCAGGGTGCCGTCAAGAGGGGCTTGGTTCTGACTCACGGGTGCCTTTTGGGGGGATTCCTGCCTCATACACCCTAAGCCCCAAACCCTAAACTCTGAATCCTATACCGATACCCGATACAGGAAGCCCCGCCAGTTCAGAACAAAATCGTCGCTCTCCCTTGGGGGCGTTTTCTGTATCATCCTGTGTCGGGTTGCCAAGGAATGCGCATATTCGCAAATCATTCTTCTCATGCAGGCATATTTGTATATGTTTATATACTTCGTTTTAATCTTGACATTTTGTGGGGATTGAGGAAACCAAGTCGGAAATTCAGAGGGGCCCGAACTCGGCCTTTGGTCCAAGTGAGCATTGGGACCATATGCTCTATTCTACGATGATGCCATGTTTGGGGGTATGTGGGACCTTAAAAGCTCTCTCGGGGTTCACTTAGCAAAGACGTGAATGCTTGCGAAGTGAGTCTGCCCCAGGGGCCGGTGCTGAGAAGTGGAAGCAGGACCCCCCCGCAGTTTTAGGGGCTTAGAAATGGACCCCCAAAGAGTTGAGGGCGTAGGGGCTAGATTATCCTGACGGGGTTGATTTCTGGTCCACAGAAGTTAAACGGGGTGATGATCGTATAGGGCTAGTGCGACCATAGATGATCCCACTATGAGGGTTCATTTGTTTCTCATGGTGGTTGAAGATCAGCAATAACATTGCCTCGATGAGTCTGGCCCTGACCGTGCTGCAGGATCCCAATGACGACAGATGGAAGGGGCGCAAGTTCGAATGGTTCTTCACGGAGACGGAGGAGGATCTCCTGCATAGCAAGCGGTGACATACGTACGTTATTAACCAGACATAGGGGGGGGGGAGGGGGGCGTGGGGGGGTTGGGTGATGCAAATGAAGGGCCCTTTTGGCCAACTGAAAACCACGAGCATGGGCCACTAGTCGAAAGGGGAGGTGTTAGGAGCTTCTTAGCGCCAGTGAATGGAAAACAGCTACCTGAAACCATGCAGCTGGGTTCCGGGCCCTACGCCCTAACCTAACAAGCCCTTGAAGCCCTAAACCCTAAGCCCGAGCCAGTGCCAGACTAGTGCCCTGCAGTGTGTCCCAGAGAGGTCAGCGAGGCAGGTGGCAAAAAAAATCCCTAAACCCTGGAGGACATCAAGCTCTCCAGTCTTCCTCGACCCAGCTTTCTGCCTCCGGAATTCTGGGAGGCGCTGGTGGCATCTTTGGGAAGATTCGCGGCGGGACGAAGCCGTCTTCATCATTTTCGCATTCGTATGTTAAATATGACAATCATCGTGATATACCAAGACATTAAACGTAGCACAGTAAAATAGCAATATACAAGTCAGACAATATTTTCATACAGTAGTACACATAATGTTGTTGGCTTCCTTAGGGCTTTCTGGGGCACCTCCGTGACAGGCATTCTACGAGAAGGGTGTTTTCATCGCGGTGTTCCAAGCTACAACGCTGCAGAGACCCCGGAGTGATGGAGGCAAGTAAGGCCATGCTACCCCTACCCCTGAAGCCCCAAGTCTTACACCCAGAAGACCTAATCTACTAGAACCTCAAAGTGCCTCAACCCCGCTTCAACCCCAAAGTAAACCACTCACCAGCCCAAACACCCTGTGAGCTTCAGAGAAACCGAGAAACCGAAGAGCTGAATACTGAAAGGTGAGGGCACACGAAGACCCTCTAACATATTGAGTTCAATACATGTATCCTGCCTTGTAAACAAGTATTGGGTCAAAACGCCAACATCTGATCTTATTCCTAGAAAAAGTCGCACCACGGCACTACCATGACATACCAATACATCACCCCCCTCCCCCCCCCTTAAACAAAAGAAGCAAGCAGACTCCCATAAGAATGTCGAGTCCTTGGGTTGGGTCCCAGATGTCATACCATAGTATGAACATATTCTTGTAGGATTCTTTTAGTATCTGATTACACGATGCTACGGGTGTGTTTTGGGTGGACCAGAATCTCGAGCTCCCAGGATTGGCGGCTTTATCCTGATTTTTCAGTTCGCACGGGAGCCCAAGCATGTGCAGCAGTGTGCTTAGGGACCGACTGGGACCCCAAAGTTGGGATCATGTTCAATTCGCCCTATTTCCGCGAGACTTTTCTTGGAGGTATGGATCATACACCCTGCTATTCCCCCTGAGCCGCCCTGCTTAGATATCTCATGGGTGCGCCAGTTCGGGATCCGGGCTTCGCAGGTTCGGGCTTCGGTTTTCTTGGGCAGTGCGAAGAGACCTGGATGCAAAAGGTTCTTGGGTCATCATTGCTTGCATATGGATGTGGGGTGGGTGGGGGGGGGGGCCTATTCTTGGGCTCCTGCACTAGATTCGCAAGGTCTCCCGCTGAGCTCCTTTTTTCTCGGCATTCTTGGATTTCTAGGTTCCTCAGCAAACTACCCAAGACTAAAAGGGAGTCCCAGCAGAATATCAAGGATCACTGAAAAACCAGTGTACCCAGCCAAGAGGCACCATACCTCATCAATGAGATCCTGTACGCGATCATTGGGAAAGGCATGTCGTGGGGGCTGAGCAGGAATGACAGACGTGCGTTCAGCTGACGCATCGGTCGTGGGGTCATGTTTTGCCCAAGTCGTCCATGAAATTGGCACCCCAAAGTTCGTAGATCAATCGGACGTCCGGCAAATGATTCCTGGGCCCCGGGCAAGCCCCAATATCCCGAAGCAGCGAGATCTCGAAGCCTTCCATCCAAAGCCTCGTTCCTGCGCAGGGCCGGGACCGTCTTCCTGAGACGGGGCCGCTTTAGTGCCAAAGAACCATTCTGGCACAATCACGAGATAGTGATTGAATGAGTTCCTAATACAATCATGGATGAAAATCATGTA